TTTCCAGCAACTTTTACTGTATTTATAATAACATTAACATGTATCAGTGGCTCAGTCACACCATATTTGTCAACTTTAACTATGCTTCTGATGTATTATCTCTATTTCAGGGGCTGAGTTTGTGCACCACAACTCACGGCAGCTGACCAGGGTTTATCCCAGTGGCTTCCGAACTGACTCCTCCAATTTCAGTCCTCAGGAAATGTGGAATGCTGGGTGCCAAATCGGTGACTGCAACTAAAATATAGATTTAACTTTTACCTCAAGCAGCTGTTTAGACTTTCTTTCTCAAATGACTTATTTGTCTGATACATTAATGTTGCACTGGGCTAAAGGTTTCTTAAATTAAGATACAATGATAGAATCCAGAGCGTCCATGGCATGGAAGTAAATTCTCTTTTGAGTGGGTGGTAAAAATAGCGCAGTGAAGTTCAGTTTGTTTTGTTCATCTTAATGTGGGTTAGCTTGCCATCAAAGAAGGTTGGATATTCCAGTCAAAAGGAATCCAGTTGATCCCGGTAACAGGACATCATAAAAAAACTCCTATAAAGGGTCAAAAAATAATTAACATCTCTGATTTCTAATTTCAAAGTTGTTCGTTGCACAACATTTTCATGTTCATGTTTCATGTTCATGTTTTCATTCATCATCCAGCCACAAAAACAGAAACAGAAATACATGCAGGGCTAAAATCAAAGGCCCTACACAAGTTTCAATACATGAATAGCCTACATCATTTTACATTCAACTCTGATTAATTCGCAAATTGCCCTTAAACCTGCAGTTTCCCTATGGGAATTCTGCATTGCGGCCTGTCGCAAAACTGACAGAACTAGCACTTATTGATCATGCTAACTGCTATACTAGCAGGAGCTATTTCATGACATTAAACGTACTGCAGATGTAACTAAATAAATGGCGTTGTTTAATTTTAGGGAGGTTTATATGAGTATGGTTTCACTGAAGAAAGTGACCAAAATACTTTGTACTACCAAAGTGCACTGAGCAGTTGGACCACACTACTCCTGCAGTCTACTACTTTACCAGTGCAGCTTTAATGTTTTTATCCTCTCAAAGTGCCTGAACACAGTGTTTTCTCAGTCAAAATTTCTTGGCAAAAACAGCATGAAAAAGGTTAGAAAAAAAGAATCTTGTTTCTTTTCCTTTTTCCATCAGTTGCATTGAATTTCCAGACAGCTGGAGAAGGAATGGATCTAAACGACAGCCTGTTCAGTCAGAATGGCCGCTGTGGATACATCCTGAAGCCTGATTTCATGAGAGAGATTGAAAAGAGATTTGACCCTGAGATGCCCCAAAAACTGGATGGCTACCAACCTGTCATCCTCAACATACAGGTACAAAGAATTTTGAAATGTAGCCATTTATTATCCATTAAAAAAATAAAGCTTTCATTGAGAACACTATGTTTTTAAGGTGATTAGTGGCCAGCAGCTGCCTAAAGTCAACATCAAGGAGGATTCTATAGTGGATCCTCTGGTCAGAGTGGAGATCCACGGAGTTCCTATGGACCAGGCCAAGCAGGAGACCAGATACATCGAGAACAATGGTACAGGAGAGGCACTGGGCCTGAACACTTGCTGCTGTTGAAATAAATAAAGGACTGAATGAATGGATGAATGAACAGGATGAATGTGTTTTCTATGTCAGATCTGGCTTCCTCCACACAGAATTAGGACGCAACGTGAGTCTTGAGACTTTGACAGACTGCCAGACTGATGTCTTCTCTCTGCAGGATTCAACCCTGTGTGGTATGACACTCTGCGCTTCAGCATCCACACCCCTGAGCTGGCCATGGTGCGTTTTGTAGTGGAAGACTATGACAAGACATCTAAAAACGATTTTGTGGGGCAGTATGCACTTCCGTTTAGCTGCATGCAGCAAGGTAAGGTTAGACAAGCTGGATGGGTTACATTACAACCTTCTCTACAATCTGTATCTCTCTGTGTAGCATCTTTATCATTAGCAGTGGATGTACATAGCCTTAGATAGATTGCCTATTTAAAGATCCCATTTTTACACTTTTATTTTGAAGAATTGATCCATAAGAAGATATATTTTTGGTTTTAAGAACCAAAAACCATCTCAGTGTAGTCTCAGGCTTCTGTCTGGAGCTCTAGTAACAACAGGTCAATGTCAGAAGTCCTGATGGCTGGTTTTACAGTAAGGCTCAGTTTCTGAATACAGGCTGTGTGCATTTCTCTATGGACTGAGTGCTTTGATACTTTCACAATATTAATCTAGAACCTAGATCTGCTTTATAATCAACAAAGACATGGACAGCTACCATTATACTATATGGGACCTTTGAGGTGATAATATATCTTCTTATGGATCAACACTTAAAATAAAACATAGAAAAATATAAAATACGGGACCTTTAATATAGAACCTAGACCTGCTTTTAATAAAAGAAAGACATGGAAATCTTAAACATAAAATGTTTTCTTAATCTGGCCATTTTTTTTAAAAAGTGTGAAATTCTGAAATAATAAGAAATAAATAAATAAATAAAACAAAATAAAATAATATTATAGATTTAGTAGTATAGATTCCTCCACATTGGAGGTTAAGGGACTGTAAGAGCAAGGTCACATGAACATCTAGTGTATCTGTTTTCTCGTCAATGAGCTGGAGTTAAACAAAGTGTTGAATCCCGCCTGGTTGAATACATACTGATAAGGTTCTAGAGATGGAGATCTAAGGAGCACTGAGGGCAACACTTTCCAATCACTCTGTATAACAATGCTTTCTTTAATTTGTCAGCCAAAATTCCTCCTAATCCTTCTGCATTTGTGTTCGCAGGTTATCGCCACATTCACCTTTTATCCAAAGATGGCACCAGTATTCCTCCCTCCTCCTTGTTCGTACACATCCGGATCACAGGACTGGAATAAACCTTCACTTTCCTAATACACCACAGGTATTGGAAACAAGAGTAGAATCATACTTCACGTTCCTAAAATGGCTTTTAATATTACTCTTATTTGATGTGAAGAAATACTACGCCAAATGTTTAGTGGTTGTCGTGTAGCAGATATTAGATATACATGTATTTATTTAGTGCATTTTCTGTTCTCTATTGTGTGTATGTGTGTGTTAAGGAGATTAACTTGAACTTTGCTGCTCATGTTTGATGTACTGTGTCTGTTGTAGAGAATGTGCCACCAATACTGTACGTTTCGATCCGGGTGTATATTTTAGATCAGTATTTTCTTTTAACGAACAGCACTTCTTCCTCCTCTGCTTTCACTTCACTTCTGTTAGATTTAACCAACTCAGCCTTCTCCGACAATATGAGAGTCATGTAACATCTCCTGACTGCTGCATTATTGATCATCATCGTATCATTTGATTTTTATGCCTCCCACACATTATATTTTCGGGAAGGTGGAACAAGGAAATGTTTTGCATTTCTCTTCTGTCGACAAAATAATTGCCTATTATTATTTCAATGGAAAAGCCAGATTCAGATTCAGAAGACGATGAATGATGGACAACATGCAAATATGGAATGCCGCCTAAATCAATATTAAATAAATGGATACGGCTATGAAATAAATCCTGAATTAAATGAATTAGGTAATAAATGTAGAAATATATAAATAAATGTAAATATATTAGTGAATCAGTAAGTAAATAAATTTCAAATTTGAAACTTGTTATCCATTTAAATTTATGAAATACAAATATAGGTTTACAAATGCAAAAGAACATTTGAACCAACATACCATGAATATTTATTTCAGCAACACATGTTTATTTTCTTTGAATTAAATAAACATAGCCACAGCTTTCTACTGCAGTACAGCAACTGGAGGTCAAAGATCATGCCCCCCCCACACCATTCTGCTCTGTCCTTGAACACCAGGCCCATTTATGAAAGTATAGTTAAGCCCTTGATTTGCTTGAATAACATGTTTTCATTATGAATAGTTAGATAAAGAGTAAATGGCTGAAATCAATCGGTTTAGTATTGAGTAGTTTTGTGTCATCTGATATTATTTTTGTGGTATGTACATATTTACCCATTTGCGTAAATGTGTTTTGATATGTCTATTTTTGTATACACTGAAACATTCATATTTAGTGTACAGTATAGTACATTGTAGTGCTATAATAGCTATTTGCTTGTTTTTTATTGTAGAAGACCTCATATTAATTTGCCACATCAAACTGCAAATAAATATGATTTTCTATCCTTCACTTTGTTTTTATTGAGTGGTTACTGTTAATAAATACTTATGTGATGGCAGAAAAATCAAGTGTTTAACCTTGTTAACATCCATATGGTGTTTTAATTATATAATACAAGACATATCATGGGTGAACTGCAGTGAACCAATGACAGTCTCATAAAAACAGATTCAGACAGCCAGGGTTTCATACGTCACAAACTTAACGAACCAATCCTGTCAACTTGTGGGGACGGGGCAAAATAAACCTGAAACCTTGTCAGTACAGAGAGAGAGAGAGTTAGCATTAGCACTAACACGGTTAACTACTGCCAGTTACAAGCTAACAAACAACATAAACAAATAAAAGATGCTAACTTTTCGACATACTGAAACCCCTTCTTTTAACTAGCCTGTATTTAAAAATGGAGGATAGAAAGCAAACTCTTGACTGTAGAGGGCAGCGTTACGCCTTACAGTGTACAGCCTGCAGGAAATTTAGAAGAAGAAGAACCAATGCGTTACCAGAGGCCAAGCTAACCATCACTTTTGGGAACGTCCTTGGAGATAAGTTAGGGGCAATGTACATCTAATTATAATCTAATTAATTATCTCAAAGAAACAGGGTTGATGGAGAGAATTTATTTATTCTATTTTATTTATTTATTTTTGTTCTTTTCTCGCTAGTCTAACGTGCCACACTCCAGAGCGATAGGTGGCGGTAATGCATTTGTAAGCTGGTCGCCAACCGCCAATCAAACCAAAAGAAGAAGAAGAAAAATCGTTTCCGGTGTTAGTGTAGTTGACACTGGTTCCACGCTACCGACACAGGGAGCAGCAACACGATACCACAAGTGAAACAGCTTAATCTAAGTTGAACATAAAATAGATAAAGATGGTGGGAAAGATAAAACATGTCCGCCAGAAGCTTCACCAGGAGGCGGTGAAGCTGGACAGGCCGAGCAGCCCCTCTGCGCCCTCCGGGTCTGTGTTGTCTCCTGTCCCGGTCCTACACAGCGTTACTCCTCCGTGTCTGGAGAACAAGCAGCGGGACAAACAGGTGTGTTTGGAGAAATGTTGAAATTAATGAAGCAAACTGTGAAACTGAGTGGTCTAAATATGTCTGTTTGTTACACCACGTGTCCGTGCGAATGGATACATCAAGTAAACACGGTGATAACAGGATGGATTCCATTATCGGACGTTCAAAGTGAAATAAAAAAAAATAAAAAAACGTTTCTAAACCTTTATCTTTAACCACAACAATTGATCCCTCATTTAAAGGAATTATTGTACGAACATGTTAAATAGTAGACTTGTACTTGTTTATTTAGGTCCTGACAGAGAGCTCCTTCCCCACTGGGATCTTCGCTGGCACGAAAATCACTCCAGAGGCTCTGGTACAAACACTGAAGTGTGAAGAGAGTCCAGATGTACCTGTACCTGTACCTGCCAAGAAAGGTAAGACTTGCTGCTGATCCCCTCACCCACTTAAAGTTTAAGGGTACTTTGTTAATCCTGATGGAAAACTGTGTTATAACAAGTATTATCGTCTCTAAAACAACCCAAGAAATCGACACTGACACACACACACACACACACACACACACACACACACACACACACACACACTGTGTCTGTAACTCCTGCCTCTAAGGGGCTCTCAATCAAAACAATAACAAAAGATGGCATTGGGTGACCACTGCCGGCAGGTTCTCTAGTTTGGATTCCCTCAGTTTCAGTCGGTCAGGAGGTTTTTACCAGCAGCTGAATTATCTACAGAGGTCTCCTCCTCTCCAAAACAAACAGACCAGGGGATTATAACCGGTACAACACAGAATAAAGCAGTTTCATGTTTAAAATTAATGATTGAACGGACACAACGACGTCTTGCGGGTTGAGAGCTGTGCTGTCTAACAGTTGCTTGGCTTTTTTTCTGTGATAATTTAAGATCTAGACATCCGATGACTAAAATCCTTCATACATTTCAAGTACCTAAAACAGAGACTTTCAGAAACGCTGCTGGACCTGTTTTATTTTGAAAACTCTGGGGTTGTGTTGAAGTCTGGATGGGCAGAAACTGAGACCTTTGGAAACGATAACATAGGCTCCCACGTTTGCTCCCTGATTGGGCCTTTCAGCCATGACTACGTTTAATGCTTTTTTTAATGCTACAACTGTCTTTGTTGTTCCTCGTTTGTAGTATTTTCCACAACTACCCAAATGCAAAGTAGACAATCTGGCTCTGGCTCACACATGCCCAGTGCAAACGAATGGTCATGTGGTATGTGTTTTCAGGTGTGTTAGTGTGGATGGAGATTATTTTTAATACAGAGCTAAAGAGGTCGTATTAGTGTGGACTTAGCCTCAGTTTGCTTTTAGCTGAAAAGAATTATATTTCAGTTTCCCTTCCATGTACTGCTACAATCTTTGGGGCAAACCTCACCAAAATCAGGCTTGTATAATGGGATATTTAAAATCTGTGATAATTAGCAACAGAAATGGAGGCTTTAACGATAATTGAATGATGAAGGCCAGTTTTCTGGGAGTTTTCTGCCAATAGTTGTAGCCGTTGGTTTGCTGATATTTTTACTCTTGGAATTCAATAGTATAGTTTTCTTTCTCTGAGATACGAATTGAAATGATTTGAAATGATTGACAATTATAGTACAATATGTATGTTATTGTCAATACCCATGGCTGTGTTTCCCAAACCTTTTTAAACCATACATTATTCGTAGACTGAAGTACTGTTTTCTGGCCACTAGATGGTGCACTAGACTTATAACTGTCCTCCTCATGTGACAGCTGCACCACAGCAGACTAGAGTAAAGGTTTTTGGGGGATTTCTGTCTCACTAATGAAGGCTGCTGGAACATCTCCACCTAGCTTTAAAAGGCTGAGCAGGGACAAAAAAGGATAATAAAATGGATGAATGGTGGTGAATGGAGATGTGTCTGATGAAGGGAGTGATGGAAGCTAAGCACACTGTGCTGAGAACCATGAGACCTCACTAGACAACGGCCCATTTCTATTTATAGAGCAGGCATCGTATAAATTTAGCTCATGCATGAAATCAAGGTTTAGCTGCATCAGTGTTTCCTTGCTTTCAGTGGAAGACACTGAAGCTGCTGCTGTCTCAGTTAAGGGGCAATTTCTTACTGTAATATTTTACTATCATGAGCTGTTGATAATTGAAACAAAAAATAATTTTTTCTAAGTGCATTTTGTTAGTGTTCTTAAAGGATTATACCAATGTTTTTGGATTTTTTGTCAATTTATTTTTTAGCCATTGATTTCTTAGTTATTTTTTATTATTGATTAATCTGATTAAACTGTTCAATTATTTGACTGTTTATTTAGTCTATAAAATATAAGAAAATAGTGCAAAGGGACCAGAAAGAAGGAGAAACATATCTGGTTTTATTGTGTGATGCAGTGTAGAATTATCAAATCCGCCTGCACTTAACAGCTGTACAACAGTGGAACATTACTCTGACAATCAGAGCAGACATGATGTTCACTGTGATGGAGGACCTCACTCAAAGTTTCCAGTCGGTCTAAGTTGATTTCCATGCTGCAGTAAAACAAATTAGCGCTTGAAGGTGAGGAAAATCAAATAAAAACCTGCAGCACTACAGCATGGTTTGAAAAATGGTTAGCAATAATGTTAAGTGTACATGATTCATAACAATAGAGCTTTAAATTATGATATTTTATTTTTTTTCTGTGTTTTATTCTGAAGGGTTGATCCATAATAAGATATATTTGTGGTTTTAAGAACCAAAAACCATCTCAATGTAGTTTTACATGTCTTCTCTCAGGCTTCTCTCTGGAGGCTGTGTGCATTTCTCTGTGGACTGAGCGCTTTGATACTTTCACAGTATTAATATAGAACCTAGACCTGATCTATAATCAAACAACAGATGGAAATTTCAGTTTATACTATGTGGGACCTTTAACATTGAGAAACACTGGTATGGTATATAAAATACACAACAGTTTTCTATATTCTATCTAAAAGTGCAATTTATTTTATAGTTATCATTTTTGGGTGTAACAACACAGCAGTTTGATCTATATATAGATTTTAAAGCCAACCGAGAGCAGGTTATATTGACATAATGTCCATATATTGATATTGTATTGTGGGCTGAAGTGTGTATGCCTGAACTCTTCAGTTCTGATTGGCTGTGTTGCTAATGTGTTGATTTGACCTTGAGGACACATAGGTAGACTGAAGGCTTGTTATTGGCTGGCAGTTGTAAGGCTTCACGCCTGAAACAGAGAAAAGTCATGACATTCACGCCTCATTGGGAAACGACTCATTCATGCATTCATTTGTCAAAGACATGGCACCTGACTGTGATGTGCAATGGGATGGATTTTTCCTGAATTAGTTCGTTAATTGGAGCTGAACTGTCAGAAAATACATCCTGCGCGTGTACTCACAACAAATTAAACATGAAATAGAATTTCTGTATATATATTAATATTATGAATATCACAACAGGTACAAATCATAGTTTTTCAGTATTTTATCCAATTCTGGTTTCATTTTTACAGCTAATTTTTTTATATATGATATACTGTATATCGACTAAACACTATTTGGCCTCTACAAGAACAAAACTTTGTGTTAAAGCTCCATACAATGTAAAGGTAGATGTCCATGTGTTGTTTGATTATAGATCAGGTCTAGGTTCTATATTCATACTGTGAAAGTATCAAAGCCTCAGTCCACAGAGAAATGCACACAGCCTGTATTCAGAAACTGAACTTTAAAACCAGCCGTCAGGTCTTCCTGAACGTTGCGATGTCACAACTATACAGGCTCAGAGCCTCTCTTCTGAGGAGATGTAAAACCACATAGATATAGGTTTTGTCACTGGCTAATTGGATCCATCATCCAAACCTTACAGGATTTGGTTTCTCTGAGTGTTTTACCTGAAATCTGCTATATTTTTATTGGATCACTCAGAAAACAGTTAGTCTTCTGATTGGCTGCATGGACTCATACATACTGTCATTTGAACAACTGTAAACCTACTTAAAGCAGCCACAAAGTAGAAGTTCTCTCCACTCCCTGAGCCTCACCCTTTCCATATCACTCCCTCTTTTGCCATCTATCCATCTTTCCATCTTCTGTTTCCCGCCTCCACCCGTCAGACACGGGCTGTTGAGTCCAGTCCAGAAGGTGAGGAGCAGGATGTGGAGTCTGGGTGGAGGGTTGAATGGGGCTGAGTAGGTAAGGGCTGTTATCCTCCAGCCAGAGGTAATCACAGCTATCCATTTCATCTAACAGCAGGAAGACGATGCTCCCAATGGGAGCAGAGTGGTGGTAAACCCCCCCCACACACACCCTCTCCACACATACCCCCACCCACTCATGGGAGATTACATTTCTCCACCTCTGCCCGCATTTGTAGTCAGCTGCAGCAGATGTCTATCTTTGCTTGTTCTCTTACTGCAAACAGCAGCAGAAACACTTGTGTAGCTTAGCGCTGCAGTGGCAGATAACGGGCTGCCAGGGATCTCTGGAGATAATATGCCTGTCTGAACAGCACCCATTCACACTCCAGCACATGGGATATGTACACAACACATTTCATACATGCTCAGTGGTGGGACTTTAGTGAACTTTAGTTAACATTCCGTTCCTAACAAACAACAAACTTTAGTAGCTCTGATGTTTCCCTGAAGACTGAATTCAGATGATTCCAGCTGCTGCTCCAGCCTCGATGCCTGAAGTTGGACTCAGTGGGATCAATGGGCCAACATTCTGTACTGTACTGCCTCCGCTGGTGCTGCTGCTGGGACAAGACAGAACACATCACACCCTGTTCTGCTCATTGAAATGACGTGGACTATCGGTTGCCTCTGAACTTTGAACTCCACAGAGCTGGAGCTGCTGAAAATCAATGGATAAAAATGAGGCCAGGGACAACAATGCATCATTCACTTTACTTTTCAACATTACTGAATGCCATGTAAACTAAAAGGCACTCAAAACAGATATTTATCTAAAATGTTCCCAGCAATTCTGGGTCTGATTTGATGGTTTTTGACATCAGGAAAACATTGCTTCGGCAAAAATGAGCCTTTCTTTAAGCATAAGTAATTGTGGCATGTGTAAAAGTTTGGGCACCCTTTTAACTTATTAACACTTATTAACTCATTAGGCCTTAATTGACTTGTTAGGACTTGTAAGACAGATACAAGTAAAGATGTTCGGAGTAGCAATATCCAGTTTTTAGCTCTCACACGGAACAACTATGGAGCGATGGCTTCTCAGAAAAAATATTCCAGCTCATGTGGTTTTTGTGGGTTTTTTCTTTTGGAACTAACTCTATCTCCAGTGTGTTTACTTACTTTAACATTTTCTTCTCCGTGTTTCCATTATATCCACTGCAGTCTGTATGTATCTCAAAGTTTCTGCTCAGTTACAGGGAAAGGCTGTCATAAGATTTGCTTATTGTACAGTTTTGATCTTGTTTACATTCATGTCATTTTTATCATTTATTCAAAAAACTCAAACAAAAACAACAGTTTTTTGTGGTTTTTTTTTTGTCTTTATACACCTTAATCTAGCAAATGTTACCCTTGAATAAAATGAAATGAATTGAAATGAGCATATTTTAATTTATTTAGGGTTCATTTTAATCTGCACAGCTAAAACTACAGATTTCTTTCATTCTGAGTGATCGAGATTCAGCTTATTATTCATGTTATTAGTTATTAGGTCATATGTCACTTCAAAGTTAAATGGACTGCACTTGTTTAGAGCTTTTCTAAATAACCACTCGAAGACACTTAACAATGCAGACTGGAGGAGCTGGGTATCGAACCACCGGCCTTCTTAGTGGACGACCAGCAATACTAAAAGTTCATTAATGATATGTAGATACAGATGCAGATGTGCATGTGGGGATTGCCATGACAAAGGATCTGTTGGATCTGCTCAGGGAGTGGGATGAGGGTGGGTGGGGGTGGAGACCTGCTGTAGCTTGCAGCTGAGTCCTTCCCGCTCCACCTTTGATGTATCTTTAACACATTTCTGAATCTGTGTGTGTGTGTGTGTGTGTGTTGTTTTCATAGGCCCAGAAGAGAAAAGACTCAAGTCAAAGAAAGAGAAGATGAAGGAGAGGAGGGAGCGGTGGCTCAACAGTGAGTTTATATCCACACTCAACACTCACACTGACACAAGTTACACATACCCATACATACAAGTCACATTTTCAAGTCAATAACTTTTAAACAAGGAAAGAGGCCTGAATACTTTTTGAATGCACTATATATCAGATGATTGACAGCTAATGGATCAAAACCTAATTCCAGCAGTGAGGTACATTAAAGGTCCATATTTTACACTTTCCCTCTGTTTAATGTGAAGTATTAATACTTTCACAGTATTAATATAGACCCTGACCTGCTGTATAATCAAACAACACATGGACATTTACCTTTAGACTATATGGGACCTTTAACATTTAGAAACACTGGTATGGCCCTTTTAAATATCCACAAGGCCATGCTTTGATACAATGTGGGACCTTTTAATAAAAGAAAATAATGGGTTCCTCTGCCCCATAGAGCTCCATTATTGTCCAAAATTTATAAAAATTTTATTATATCGTTTAAGGTTGTCAGTGTCCAATGTTGTTGTCATTTGAGCATACACTGATTGAATCATGTCTCCTTTTGGAAGCTGTTCTTTTATTTAATTTTTTAAAACTTGCATCAAATTTTAGATATCACCTTTGCTATCCCTCATTTAGCAGCTTCCATATTTTTCTCAGTATTGGAGAAGTTGAGTGTAACAAAAGAACATAGAACGGCCTGCTTTGTGAAGCTGGAGTCTAAACTGTTAGCGTTACAGATAGAATACTTAACTGACCACAGCGAGTCTGAGTTTTGGTCTTTCTGGATGATAATTATAACTCCTCTCCCCAACGCCACCACCATCATCATCATCACTGCCGCCATCATCTCCCATAGTCGCAATCAGGCCAGTAACTGAACCCTCCTGCTGAGCCAATCAATTCCTCAGTAACACAACACGTATCCTCTTCAGGCATATAATTAGGTGCTAATGGCCGGGCGACTTGGTCCTGCTGAAACCCAAGACCGGCTCTAGGGCTGACAGTTTTCAGGAATTAGAAGAAAATTAGAATGAAATATGAGCTTTATTCAGATTGTGGACGCAGGGTTGGGATGGCGGTGTTGGACCAGTGTGGATTCTGAAAGATGTGATTGTAATCGGCTTGCACAGTAGTCAATGTGTTTAGTCCAGCAATCCACAGAAAAAAAAGACACCAGGCACGTTTCCTGTATGTCTCTACACATCCTCTGTGGCATTTACCAAAATCTAAACAAAGCTTGTATGTTCATGACAAGACTTTCACCTTCCAACCACACCTTGGTAGCAAAACAGGCTAGTTTTCTGTTGCTTTCAACCTGAATATGGAAACTACCTAATAAAATGATATGCACACATTTAAACTTAATGCGGGTGTACAAACAAATGAAGAATATATGTAATGTATAGAGATTTATCAATGTTTTCTCACTCTTCTCTTAAACATACTGTATATACTCTTACACATCATTGTTAAAGAGTAGTGGGGCCAGACCTACAATGCGAGTGTCGCTGACAGACTGACTGAGTGATCATAATTGACCATTGGTCAGTTGAATACCACATGCCTGAGTTTCGGAGGTTGCTGCTCAGATTCTACCTTTGCATTGTTGTTCATCACATGTTAAAAGGGTTTGTTCCAGCATGATGCAGAAAGAGCCTGGAGATGTGCCTGATATGAACCGATGGGACATTGGTGTATTATAAAAATGCTTTGCAGCACAGATGTCACTTGAGTTTTGAAATGGCAGGATGGAAGGATGTGCTCCAGGGGTCTGTTCAGTCCAGTGTCCACGGTCCTCATCCTAATGTCCTGTTCCCATTATGCTGACACCCTCACAAACAGGGATGGGAATCGAGAACCGGTTCCAACTGGTTCGGTCCATTGACATCATTTGCCTTTATGCTTAACGATTCCCTTATCGATGCGTTCCACTTAGTTTCGCGTGCCTTGCAAAACAATGACATCATGCTTTCGCGAGAGGCAGTCAGCTTGAACAACAATGAAGGATTCGAGGAAGTGTGGCTTAATTTCAAAACAAACATGAAAGATTTTTCGACACAGCGAGCATTAAATATCGGGTTTTCCATGTATTTGATGCTCTATACCACCGGTCATCGAGTTCTTCCCAGTCTCAGCAGAGCAGTGAAGGTACGTATTAATGATGTGTTGGTCGCAAATGAGCTGTTTTTTTTTTTTTTTGTTGTAAATTAATACAATGTAGACCTCAAGAGTTAGGCAGCACCCCCTCCTTGAGGGATTTACATGTTTATCTTATTCAGCTCACTAGAGTCATTTTGTTTTTTTGTTTATTTTTTGGTATTTTTAGCCTTGTTGGTAATTTTTCTGTTTTTCAGGTGTTCAGTTTCTCACTGAATTGTAATAACTTGGGTGATTTTTCATCTAGCGCCATCATCAAGTCACATTTTCATTTGTCCAAAACTTTGGTTTCAGATATAAATCTAGCTGGATTATACCAGTAGACTGTGTTTGTTACATTGTTGTGTTTATCCTGGTGTAACTTGTCTTCTGTCCGTCTCCTCTCAGAGATCAGCTCCATCAAACAAGCCCAGGAGCGTCAGGCGGCCGAGGCCCGCAGACAGGCCACTCCCGTGGTTGGAGACTTGAGGCCGCTGGCCGACGCCCTGCCAGAGCTATGCCAGCTCATCGGCCCCCCCGCCACCACAGCCCTCGCCACTCGCCGCAAGAGCAGGAAAAACAAAGTGTAAGTGCGAAGGTGACCGCTCGGCAAGCATCAAGTCCTCCAGAACTCTCACGTTTCTTTTGTCCTTCACATCAGTAAATGTGCGTTAGAGTTCAGCACGCGGAGATAGTGACAGCATCAGCAGACTGAGGCATGAGACACACACCGTCAGCTGTGGAACCAACGAATATTTGATGGGAAAGTGCAGTGATGTGACGATAAGGTTGATTTGAGATTGATTTGTAGTGACTAGAGATGATGTTGGTGACATCACTTTCATTAAGGATCCATCAATTTAACAGTCTTACTCCTTTATCCCTTCAGTGTGTAGAGAGACTAATACCTGCCTCTGTAGGTAACTAATGCTACTTCCCACTTCCAGACTACACACTAATTCTAAACCGGTTTCCATGGTGTTTATTTTGTAGCTTTTCACACTGTTTTCCAGTGTGAAAAGCTACAAAATAAACACCATGGAAACCGGTTTAGAATAAACCGGTTTAAATAAAGTTAACTCCAGTCAGAGCACAACACAAGCTGTGTCCCAGTTCAGGCACCGCATCCTTCCTAGGACCCTGTAGCTTTCGTAGACCGCCAAGGCCGAACTAAAATGAGTCAGGCCTATGGCTCAGAGCCTCCTCTCTTCTGATTGGCTCACCGACCTGTTGTTACTAGAGCTCCAGAGAGAAACCTGAGAGAGGACTTTTGGCTTTTAGAACCACAAATATATCTTCTTATGGATCAGTACTTAAAACTAAAACACAGGAAAATAGTAACATTGGACCTTTAACTTTAACATTTGGGTCCTTCAAATTTAACATATGGCACCTTTAACATATGGGATGTTTGACTTTAAAGTGCATTTCTTGTCTACACCTAGAACCTCCGTCACCAATAGAAAAGTCCTGCACTTTTAAATAGAAATATAAATGGTTCTTAAAATCACAAATATAGTGGTTCTTAAAACCACAAATTACGGATTAATACTTCACAATAAAACATATGTAAAAATAAAAAATATGGGACCTTTACATTTTGGATCTCGCCCAGCCTAGTACAGAAAGAGTAAATTGTCCATGTCACTCTGTCCTCCCTCCTTTCAACAGACCTGTGAAGAGGCCTGAGCCAACAGATTTCAGTCAGATGAAACAGTCCCAGAAACGCAAACTCCTGTAAGCAACTTTTTTTCTTCTTTTTTGCTCTATAACCACTCCTGAAACTCCACAGCTCTTAACATTCATATTTTTTTTTGCTATTAATGCAGAGAAACAGAGAGCAGCCGCTTCAGCGATGTGGTAAAGACTCTCTCTGGCAGAGTGAATCCTCTGGCTGATATCGGCGAGCAGCTGAGGAAGAGGATGAGGCAGGAGGAAGAGCAAGGAACCAGCTAACAGCAGCACACTCGAGTGCTTCCACAGACTTTAAAGATCCCTGAATCCCGGTCTACACTTGACTTTGTCAGGGAAACCTGACCCTGGAGGAAGAACCTGACACCTGGTTACTCAGTCTGACTGGATGCTGAGGATACTGACTGGTTCCTGGTGAAGATGCAGAGACAAGTGGCATAAACTGTAGCATTTGTAAATGATGACTTTAACACAGATTCTTTAGGTTGAATTATCATTATCATCTCCTCTGCAGTAATAAATCACAAATCAGTCAAAACTGCAATTTAATGTGTATTTGAATATACAGTGGATTTTATTTTAGCATAAAACTGCAACACAAAGTGTAAAAAGTGAAGGGGTCTGAATGCTCCATGTGCATTTGCAATATCTGCAAATCAAAGCATTTAATAGTCAACACATGAGCCTGGTTTCGATGAGCTCCTCCACAATCATTCCCACTCATCTATTTTCAGTGTCTTCTCATTGTGCCGTATCCAGAATGAGATCAGTGACTCATCAGCAATAACCATAGCAACTCCACTCATCCATGGACACCAATATGTTGTCAGGGCGCCGAGGAGCCATGAAGCTGAATGAAAATATTGTCAAACTGTCATCAATAAGCAGATCAACATTTACGGAGAGCTCTAGGAATCATATGCAGCATATGCTGCACATCATGGACTTGACGTGTGGGTGCTGAGGATGTCAAACTCATCACGGTATCTTAACAGATTTTTTTTTTTTGCATATAATTAAATATGTTTATATAGAAACTCTTTCTGCCACTTGAAAATAAAACCTCATCTACAGTTTTTCCTTCTTTACAAGGGTTTTTTTTCCCTAAAAAATTCAAATTTTGTCATTGTAGGAAGTTTTGAATTATTAATCTCATAGTTAGTATTTAAGTTAGTATCTCGAATCTCATACATTTCTAATAAGTTTCATATTATAATCTATGAGAATCAGAATACAGTTACAAACCAACTAACGAATGTGATTGCAGCTGCAAACCAACTAACCAACCAGATTACAGCTACAGACCAACTAACCAATGAAAATACATCTACAAACCAACTGCTCAATCAGAATACAGAACAAACCAACTAATACACTAATGTTTCCCTCTGAAATATGTAGAGGTGTAGAATTACATTCCACCACTGGAAGAAAAAAAATAATGTTGATGGAGTGCCAATCCTTCAAAATAAAATACAATTTTATTTTATTTTATATGAAGTTTTCAGGTGTGATCTTGTCCTCTGAAAAAAAAAAGTTAGATTCTGCTATGATTAGCTTGGAGGTAAGAAAAACTTAATCAATAGAAGGTTCAGAGCTGCTGAGGCCCATTAGGACTCATTAATAATGGATACTATGGGAGAGCACAGTGTCAAATTAAAAGTAATCAGAGCTCACTGTTAGCAGGCCTTAGTCTATATTGAATATATGGACCAGAGGATCTTCTGTTCTGACTCAGGATCAGCTCTTCTCCCCTCCGGCTCCATCGCATATTTCTCAAACGTGACTCATTCATATCGGCTGTTGACGGCTGGCGAACCCTGAACAAAACAAACAACGCTGTTTTACGCAGCACATCGGTCTGTTGGAGTCGATCCTTTCACTTTGCATTTTCCAGATCACTACCTGCTTTGTGAATCATAGAAAGAAGAAGTGAAATATGAGTTTGTATTTCAATGCTATTCCTGGTGGTAAGAAATCATTCTGTCCTCCTGAGTGGTGTTGGTGATTAACCAGACTTAACTTCGCTTCCTTCAACACACAGCATACAGTAAATTAGTAACTGTGGACAAGCATAAACCTGAGCATTAAAGGGAGAGTCCACCTGAAAAGTGGATTAAAGGTCCCAAATTTATTAGATTTCACAATTTTAGTTTTCATGATTAAGCTATTCTGCAGCAAACCTTTTTGGAGGTTTGTGATTGGTGGTTGAAAAACTAAAACAATTTTACCTGAAAAGAGGAAAAAAAAGAGAAAGTAGTAGACGCTCATTTTGTCTTTCAGTTTTTCCAATTTTACCTCACAGTACTTTGAAATTGCTATTTTGCAATATCTATATTTAGCATTTGTAATTTTGTTTCTGGTTGAAATGATCCAAAATATCTGAATCTTGTCCCAAACATTCCTGCCAACATAGATCAACAAAGACAGATGACTACGAGACATTATACATCGCAAATGTTGCTGACTGAATGCCACATGACTGACTTGGAGACTTGAACTGACACTGCACAAAAATGAATAAATGCAAATAAAAATCCATCAAAATCAATGTAGTTGCTTAATCATTGACATATCCCAGTCTGTGATAATCCCACAATTTTTTGCATTTAATATATGGAGAATAATTCATTTTCTGACAATGGCATTATGTAAACTAACTGGTATTTAAAGGGTTAAAATCCTGAAACTGAATGAATATTTGGTGGTTATGATCAGGACTGATGATGAATAAAAAGATAATTGGAAAAAATATTAACATATAGTATTTTATAACGTATTATTATTAATAACATAATATTTTATAGCAGTTGTTGAGGTGGACATTTTTATACTCTGAGGACCTTAAGGCGATTTATTTAAAAGAGTGCACAGGGGTTAAATACAATAGTATGTTTCTGGTCTCTCTCTCTCTTTCCCTCTTCCCCTCTCTTCCCTTCTTTCTCCTCTCTCCCCCCTTTTCTCTCCTTTTCAGGCCGACCAGTTGAGGCAGAAGGCCGCCCACCCTGAGTCTGCCTCTGTTGGAGGTTTCTTCTTGTTAAAGGGAGTTTCTCCTCTCTGCTGTCTGTTGGGGTTCTCTCCGTGAAGTGCCTTGAGGTAATGTATGTTGTGAGTTGGTGCTACTTAAATAAAATTGAATTGAATAGCTTGTAATTGACATAGAAATATGGATACAATACTCACATTTTCCTGAGGAAGCAGATAAAAACATGGATGGAATATGACATCCAGACACAACAACCACCACAGGTTCTCTGCAGTAAAGCAGACTGTTCTTTACTTCCATCAGCGTGAAGAGCTCATAAAGATTTATGAGGTGGGAAAAAAGCAGTTTTACTCTTCACTTCAGATCCTGTTTTTTTCCATTAATCTTCATACTAATAAATATCACAGATATCACAGAAATATAAAGCTAAAAAGAAGAGTTCAGAGGGCCACAGTGTGTGTTATCAAGGGCCATGAGGAATGTATAGGTCTTATTTGTAGCCTTCTGAAACAAATCAAAGCGCTCAATGTTCCTAAATGATTTTTATGTGGAACATGTGAACTATTAAATCGTAATGAGTTTCCTCGTTGTCCAAATTTATGGTTCCAGAAGAGCGAGGAATGTTAATAAGAGCTAGATCCAGATGTGAAGAGAGATGTGGACCTGTTTTTGGTTCCCAGTTTTCCCAGGGCAACAAAATTACAAAAGAAAATACAGTTCAACAAGTAGTTTCATTCATTCCCTGTTGTTAAAGTGCTGCTTCCTGGGTAATTCAGAGTAAATATAAAAATGTAGGTTTATCCAGAGTAATAAGGTTAAAACCCTGTAGGGAAACAGAGCCATTACTGCCAGAAACACCAAACAAAGACATGATGAAATAAGGAAATTAAAGGTCCCATATTTTACACTGTTTTATTTTGAAATGTTGATCCATAACAAGATATATTTGTGGTTTAAGAACCAAAATCCATCTCAATTGTAGTTTACATCTCCTCTCTCAGGCGTCTCTCTGGAGCTATAGTAACAACAGAGTTGGTGAGCCAATCTGAAGAGAGGAGGCTCTGAGCCTATCTTTTGATTGGCTGACTGTTTTCCAAATGATTGAGTGAAAATATAGCAGATTTCAGGTCAACACACAAGGTTGGATGTGGGTCCAAAGGGGCTTGGGCAGTTTCTGAATTTCTTTGTGGACTCAGCGCTTTGATACTTTCACAGTATTAATATAGAACCTAGACCTTCTTATAATCAAAGAAGACATGGACATCTACCTTTATAGAATTATGGGACAATAGGTTTGGGGGGGGGGGGGGCAATGTGTGATTAAAATTATTATTTATCATTACAGAAATTATTTAAAACATTCACACAGTATATATTTTTTCTTTTGATACTATATTTCCTATTTATTTCTTTAAGTATTTATTTCTTACCAGGTGTGTCCAATCAGTAAAACTGCTGGTGCTAACGCGCCAATGTGCTCTTCTCTGCGCCCACCTCTTTCCTCCTGTCCAATAGGAAAAGGCAGATTTTGGATCAGCCAGGAAAGACTTGCCTGGTTAATATTACCCAGTGATTCCCCTCAGAGCTTCAGCCCACCACTACTGTATCCTCCCCGGGCAGACAGTGCACTGAGCGCAGTGGAGTCCGGACGCGGCAGCATCACCTGCATTACACCGGCCGGCTGGCTTCAGTAGAGACTGCCCGTTGAAAGCACCTTCACACCGTAAGTACCCATTCACGGGTCGCTCTCATCATTTTTGTTCATTTTTTTTGCTTGAGTTCACAAATTTATAGCGACTCTCATCCTCCGTACAGAACTCCATTCTAAAATCGGTTAATTAAACAGATCTTCGTTTAACGTTCAATGCACGCGACTCGTGAATCTCAATGCAGGGCGTTTTAAACAAATAAAGCACACTGATAAAAACGGCATATGTATAAGGTAAAAAGCAGTGGTATTTTTTTCAAATTACAACTTTATTAACAGTCTGGTGCGACTTACCACAGCACAGCCTGTCGTATTTGGCGAAAGAAAACTGGGGATACAACAGGCGAAACAGTGGTGTTATTGGTCCAGCTGCTGAAGTGTGTTAGCTTATCTTCATGCCGAATTGAATGGTCAGTCAAAATTAGTAAATACAATTACGATAAATACAGATTTATTTACCGATATACAAGCTTTTATTAAATTGGTAGATTTTTCTTTGAAGTTCCGCGACTTTTTCTTTCTGCTTTCAGAGGGGAAGCGCAACGAGCACGCCTCCTGAAATATCATTTGAAGGAAACGTGTGTGTGATTGTATGTTTGCAGACTACTATCACTAAAAAGGATACCATGATAATCCACCATGAAAACATATATCAGAATCACAGTAAACTCTATGTAAACCCCAAAATACAAATCTCTCAAAATTCAATCTCTTATCAGCAGATGTACAGACACAGGTTTAGCCATAGATTACCAAGACCTAGCAAAACGCTCAATTATTACGTTTAGGAAAAAAAAGGTTTGTGTTACTTAAATAAAAGAAAAAAATATAAAAAAGTTGAGGAGAAAACCTGTATTTAATGACAATAGTAGTAGGAAAGAGACTTTCTTAACAAGCAGGAGGCATCAAGCTTTTAGAAGATAGGCAGCAATTTAATCAGATAAAAATAAAACCATAATCTATTTTAATTTAAACCATCCTCCACCCCCTCATAGGAGGGCAACTGTATTTATATCTAATTATCTATTCTTACTTGGACTAGCATACTCAAAATAGCTACCTGTCTTAATGTATTAATGTATTTTCCATTTAAAAGGGACAATACAATCTAATTGGCAATGTCCAATACGGTTTTTATATGGCCAGACCAACCAATCAAATACAAATAAACTTTAATTATTTGAATGTGGCATATTTATGACTGGTCAAATCGACAGGGCAAAGATAAAATACTTCTTTTTTTTTTGAATTTTTGGAAGAAGCAGGAGGATTTCATCTTGGCATTTCCTGCGTGTGTGTGTGTGTGTGTGAGAGAGAGAGAGAGAGAGAGAGAGTCCACATCTTCCAACACATGTTTTGCACAGTGTAACATTTAAAAAGCATTCTAATTTATATTATAAAATATGCATGTGTTTTTCTTTATTTACCCCTTTTTAATTTGCACTCTATACGGTGCTGCTGCTCCTAATGTGGTGTGGTGGCCTAATCTTAATGGACATTGTGTTAAAATCAGTATTACGCCACAGGCATAGTTGAAATGACTTTGAAATGAATCATTTAGTGCAGAGAGACTGATGTTTGAACTGAAGAATATTGACTT